GGCGGGAGCATCGAAGGGGGCGGGGCCTTAGGGGGGTGAGATCCACGTGACAGCGGGGCCACACGTGGGGGACACGTGGGACACCTGGGAGACCCCCTGGGACCACCTGAGACCCCCCCCGGGACCACCTGAGACCCCCCTGTGACACCTGTGGGACACGTGGGTGACACCTGTGATCCCCCCCGGACACCTGAGTGACACCTGGGACACCTGTGGGACACGTGGGTGACATCTGTGACCCCCTGGGACACTTGTGGGACCCCCTGGGACATGTGGGTGACACCTGGGACCCCCGGGATACCTGAGTGACACCTGAGTGACACCGGGGACACCTGTGGGACATCTGTGAAACCTCCTGTGACACCTGGGGGACTCCCTGGGAGACCTCTGGGACACCTGAATGACACCTGTGGGACCCCCTGGGACACCCCTGGGGACACCCGAGTGACACCTGTGGGACCCCCTGGGACATGTGGGTGACACCTGGGACCCCCCGGGGACACCTTAGTGACACCTGAGTGACACCTTAGTGACACCTGAGTGACACCTGAGTGACACCTGTGACCCCCCTGTGCCGCCCCCCCCGCTGCCCCCCGGGGTGGCTCAGGAGGGTCGGGCGATGTCACTCGGTGTCACCCTCTGGGGACACGGGGGCGGGGCGGGGCGGGTCCCCAGGTGACCCCAGGTGACCTCAGGTGACCCCGGGGCGGAGCTGGGGGTGACACCTGGGAACAGGTGAGGTCCCCAAGCGGGGGGAGGGGTCCCCACCCTGTCCCTGCCGATGACGTCACCGAGACCCCAAAGCGCCACCAGGGCCGATGTCCTGTGCCCCTCCCCCCACCCCCTCCCCCCGCGCGCGCACGGGGACACCCCCGGGTGGGGGAGGGGACCCCCGGGTGGGGGAGGGGCGCTGTCACCACGCGCTCGCGGCTCCCAGAGCCCTTTATTGAGACCCCCCCGCGCGACCCCTCCCCCCACGCGCCCCGGGGTGGGGGAGGGGCGGGGGAGGGGCTCCAAGCCCAAGCTGAGAGGGGGGGGAGGGGTGGGAATGAGGTCACGGGGGGGGGG